ATATTATATATTTATATAATATAAGTTATATAATTAATATAATATATTATTTTTATATATTAATATTAGAGATGTCAAACTAGCCCGTCGTTCGCGAACAACTCGTGTTTGAGTCGTTCGTTAAGAAACGAACACGAACAGTGACTTCACGAATAATTTTGAGCACGAGTGTATTTCAAAAAAACTAAATTTGAAATGAACCGAGCACGAACACAAGCTCTGTTTGTAACCCTGTCTGTAACAACTCTGCTTAAAGCATGGAGCCATAAACATGTATTAAAATCTTAAAACAAATTCAAACATAGCACGTGATTCTCATGCATTTACAGACCTAACACCTAAACTTTCATATTTACATACATAACACTCAAATCTTTAGCATTAAATAAAAAATTAGCATCAGTTAAATTATATTTCTTAATAATTTGACTATAATCTTGTCATATTTAGAATTCATTTGACATTCCAATTATGCACATAAAGTTTTTAAAAGCAATTTAATAGCTTGATTTGAGTTTGCTTTGACTCAGATTAGAACGATTTTAGAGCCGTGGGGTCCGTCTCGTCGAGTCGGTCAGTTTAACTGAAATTTATTGAAATCGAAGTTTCAGATGACTTTTAATCGAAGTTTGAATATTTTTTGCTTAAAAAATTATCTCGAGATCTGTACCATGCCTCAAAAAATCGTGTTGGAAGTTAAAACTCTATTGATGACATATCAATTATTATTACTATTATTCAAAAATTAGAAGTCAACCTTCCTTCTAAATTTCACAAACTATTCAAACATAATTATTTTATTATAATACACAAAACACATAAAATTGCTTAACTTTTGAAAATCTCATTTTTAATACTTAAGCAACCCAATGAGGCAATTTATTAGAGTGAAGAAAAAAAAATTATGCGCATTTACATAAACACACACAACTATTAAAATATTTACACATCTGACACTCTTAAGCGTTGGAGCCCGATTTTTCCCGCTTCTGCGTCCTAGATCGCGAAACGTTGCTTTTCCGCTCCCGCTCCTGCTTCCGTTCGCGAAGAGTTGCGCCTCCTGCCTCTTCAGTCGCACGTCATCCGCTCCCCCTTCCTATGTTGTGAAGCGTAGCATCCATTCGCTTCATCCTGTTCGTGGTAAAAAACTTCAGACGACTCTCCTTTAGTTTTAAGAAGTCACGGTGTTCTTCTTCGGTTTTCTTCAGGATAGAGGAAGTCTTCCTCTGGATAGAAGGAAGTAAAGTGCAAGAAGTAGTTCCTTGCGATGAAAGAAGAAGAAAGAAAAAGAAGAAGATTGTTCTCCATTGCCTTCTTCTTGGTGACTTGTTGCAGAAGAAAATTGAGTTTATTTCTCTTATAAGTTTATCTTCTTCGGTGTATCTCGGTGTAAAGTTTCTTCGGTGTATCTCGGTTTAGAGAGAGAAGAACAGAGAGAGAAGAAGAGAGAGAAATGAAGTGGTAGTGAGAGATTCCTCTTGTAAGTCGAGGTGATCGACTGATGCAAATTTCTCAAGTAGTAAAATCCTCTGCAACTCCATGTATGTAGGCAATTTGCTGAACCACGTAAATCCGTGTGTTCCACTTTGTTATTGTATTTTGAGTGAATTTTCTCGTTCTATTTTCGCGTCATTGATTGTTCTCCTGTTTGATTTATATATATACCACATCAACTCGTGTATACTGGTATATTCTATATCTTATCTCAACAACAGACACCTATCCGTTAGATCCCATACAAATCCTGATCGGCATAAAAAAATATCAGATTATTTTATAAACATAAATGATACGCCACCAACAAATTTTTATCATCCGACACGAATCTCGAGGCAATTTTTTGAATAAGAAACATTCAAACTTCAATTAAGAGTCATCCAAACCTCCGATTTCAGCAAACTTATAGTCAAACTGATCGGCTCGATGAGACAGACCTAATGATATGAAAGTCAGTCTAATCCAAGTCAAATCAAACCCATATCAAATCATTAAACTACTCTTGGAGGATTTCTGGAGGCATTTGAAAGGTCAAACAGATGTCGAATCTAGTGAGTTCATATTCGAATTGAGTATCTCAACAAGACGAATCCAATGAGCCCAAGATTGCTAAATTCCGACATCGTTAATGCACTCAAATATACATCAAACATCATCAGATCGAGGGAATCTCTCTGGACCGTCTGATTAAAATGGTTCATATTCGCATTAATTTGTAATCAGATCGAGGGAAGTTCTCTGGACCGTCCGATCAAAATGATTAATATTTCTGCATTAATTGCACCCAAAACACTACAGATAGAGCCCCGCCCCTCACATGAGAGGGGGAGGCTTGAGAGAGAACTTGAGGATTTGAGAAAAAACTTAAGTCCAACATCATCCCTGTCATCGTCGACCTTCATCGACCACTATCGGTCGTCGGCGACCATCGCCGACCACCGTCGATTACCGCCGACCGTCATCGACCACCGCTAACATCCGTTGACCACCACCGATCGTCGACGACAACAGCCGACCTCCGTTGACCACTGTCGACCACCGTTGATCACCGCAGACCGTCTGTTGATCACCTCCGTTGGCGACACTGTAATCTGAAAATCTAGTAACTCTTTCTCGTTTGTGGGACAAGGGACACCTGTAATTATCAACTTATAATGGATTTTTATAACTGAGACCCCGTGATTTTTTTCTTTTACGAGTTTTCCACGTAAAAACTTCTGATTTCATCACTGGTTGTTTCAATTTCATCTGAGTGTATGTTGAATCCTCGTGCAATGCTAAGATGATAATTCATTATTCTATCGCCGTGAATTTTCCAACACACATCAATAAATATTAAATATTAGACTTTAGATTCACAAATCCATAAGAATTAAACGGTTGGTACGAAAAATTCTCAAAATTCTCCACTAAAGAACAATTAACGGTGAGATGTCGCTGACATTTTCGCCCGTCTCGGAACCCAAAGAGATCTCAGTAATTTATCATTGTTTATCCCTAAATCACAAATCAATTATTAGCTAATTATACTTAATCATTCATTAAATTAATTAATCATGTCTAATAATTCCATTTAAAAAAGCTGACAAGATATCATTGATGCGTTGATGGGGAGGTGGGAAGCGGAAGAGGTATCGAGCAAAAGTTCTCAAGCTCTGAAGTAAATTATATAATTGGCGTACGGAGATTCTCAAGATAACTGCAGCTCGTGAGCTTGAGGGCCTGCTTCGGTTCGTCTTCTTCAACCTCCGCTCTAGCTGGGTTTCTTCTGCTTCTGGGGTTCAGGTCTTGGAGGTGAAGCGTGCTGAGGTTAGAATTTGGTTTAGGCAATGTTTCTATTGCGTCTTTCCTGTGCTCGTTTTCTTGTTCTGCTTTTGATTTTTGTTTTATGTTTCTGAAGCTGTTTTTGGGGGATTTTATCTTTTTATTTTGCTTTGATTAAGTATGGGGATTCATGGAGGTTGGTTTGGGAAAGGTTTTGAAAATACGCTGTTGGGGAGAAACAAGCAGCAGAAGTTTGTTTTCTTAGGTAAAATATATAGGTTTTTGTGGGGAGAAGAACTCGAAGGTTGCTATTTATTCATGACTGGAGTAATGGATGGTGTATGGAATTTATTCTTTTTTTTATTTATTGTTTGCGCTGCCTTGATTGCGTTTTCTGGTCAAGGTTTTTTGTGTTCGTGAACTTCGGATGGATTACGGATGGATTTTGACGTTTTTTTCTTCTTATTTGGGGTTAAATTGGATCAACATTTTGTGGCAGGAAGCAATTGAAATTGAAACTTTGGGATTTAGGAGATGATCCCAAGCATTTAGATTGTCCGGTACCTTTTGGAATTGGGTTTGAAATTAGTTTATCTTTGCCCTGGTTCATTCAATGCTTTGTCTAATTTTGGGGATAAGTGAGAATATAATAAAGGTGAGACAATTATGTATGGATATGTATGCTTGATTTTGCAATCAAGGAAACGTTTTATTATTCTCATTTATGAAAGTAGATGTTGTTTTTCTATTGTTTAATTAGCTTACTTGATTTTGTTAGGTCGTTCTAAATGATTAAAAATGAAAGAGGCAAAAAAATTTAATAAATGATCATGATAAGGTCCACTCTGCTTTGATTGAAGTGTTGTGGCATATTGTTATATGGTTACATTGGAGAATGTACTTAACAAATACGGCATAGTCATGTTTGATTAAAGTTCTCATAAGACTTTTTTTGTAAAAGTTTTATACAGTGCATGAACTTCTCACAAATGCGTGGGTTAGAAGGAGTTGATGTATTTGACCAAATCCTTAAATTTTTTTCCATGTGATGCTAGTAGGAGTTGATGTATTTGACCAAATCCTTAAATTTTTTGGGAGTCTCAACTTATAATGTTCATATATTAATGGAGGAAGACTTACTACTCCTAAAAGTTCTCGTTTTGTTCTCAATTCCTATTAATAGGCTATGTAAGGTAAACCCGGTGGTGAAGTTACTATTTATCTTTTAATAAAAAAAAAGATATATAATTGACTTTGGCTCAACCTATTTTATATTAAGATCAATCTCATGATTTCACCATTTTTTAGGAATTTCCTAGAAGAAAACCTATCCTTTGATTTCGCTCCATCACGGGCACGTTTAATTATGGAGCTGTCAATGAAACTCTACACATTACCTCAAAATAGGACTCACATTTTTGGCTTTAAACTTTTAGGGGGTGTTTGGCAGCACCTTTTAATAGGATTTTTCACCAAACACAAAAATGCAATGGTTATGCAAATTTATGAATTTTTGGATTTAGGGTCCCAAATTTTGCTTTCTATCCGACTTATGTCCGAATTTACTAAATTCATAGGTATGATGGATTTAATAGTTTTATGATTTACGGATTTACTAAATCTTAGTAATGCTAAATCATACTTGCAGCGAAACACCCCCTTAATTATATGTAGTAGTAACCTTACATCTCTTTTAAATGTCAGGTTTGCTTTATTCACAACTCTTTTTTGTTACAAAAAAATACCAGGAACCACTTTTTTTCTTGGTCACTACTGATCACTCTCTACTGCCTTACTTTAAATTTAGGATGTCAGAATAAGCATGCATAAATGGCTAAATAAAGTGTTAAATTTTCACTTTTGCCTTCTGTAATGATTTTGATTTGCATCCCTAGTGTTCTCTTGAAAAGATTCAAATATTTTGTGGGCTAGCGAACCCAATGATGCGTAGAATATGAAATACAATGACATTAAGCTAAAGAATTAAGTGATCATGGTTGAATTTGTTTCATTATTTGACCCTCCATCTTCTCAAATTCTCTTTTATTTCCCTCCTTCCTTCAAATCCCTGATAGCCTAAAACAAAGTGTCAAATATAGAGTAGGAGGGTTGGTGGCGAAAGAAGAAAGGGGAAGAAAAGAAACTTAAAAAGAAGTCTAAATGAAAGGCTGAAAGTATTTGTCAAGCACAATAAATTTAGAAAAGAAGAAGAGGTACAAAGGAATAATTAATGCAATTATAATGCATTCTTAGTGTATCCTTCTCACAAGAAAAAAGGGAGGGCAATTACATAAAATACACACTTCTAATGTATTTACATCTCTCACACCTGAACTTTTACATTTACAGACATAACACTCAAATTTTTAATAACACATGAAAAGTAGCACTATTACCACATTTTAAAAATGAAATACATCTTTTCATGCATATATTTAAAGTACCAAAATCCTGTATATATAAGTATGAAATTTTAGGTGTGAGATATGTAAATACATAAGAATTGTGTACTACAAATGTAAATTTCTCAAAAAAATCAGAAGATCAGCAACAAAGAGGGGAGCTAACAGGCAATAGATATTATAAGTTTCAGTTCCATGTCCTCCTTTCTCTAGGTAAAAGTGATGTTGTTGTCTCTGGCCGTTGTCATTAAATTGTTTGTACCAAGTTTTTTAAAATTCTTAATAAGCATTAGCTTTGTCCTTTTTGTGGATGACATAAATCATGAATCTCTATGCAAGCTTGTAGTCTCCTATCAAAAAAAAAAAAAAAAATTTTTTTTTTGAATGAATAACTGAAAGGAAACCTATATAAACAAGGATGTTATGAAAAACTTAGGTGCTTTGTGACTCGAATCAGGCACTGAGAAATATGAAGTTTTGCTTTTTTAAATGTCTTGTTGGGAGCCCAAATTGCTAATTATTATGATCCCAGTGATATTGAATATATGATTTGGACTTGTGTATTTTCCTGGTTGTTGGATTTCAAGGAATCACCCCAAATGAATCCCACTTAGCTATGTCTAATGCAAATTATCATTATTTTTGATGTTGTACTGCTCATTTTCTATTTAGCAAAAATAATGAGGAAATTTCTTTTCTCTTGAAAATTCATTAAATATATGGCTGATTATTTGTGGTTTTTTGTTTTTCAGTTGGCTCGAAGAAGCACCAGTGAGTCTCTTTTACCTGGTTTCAGTTGCTTGGGGGCTTGGCAGCCAGATGCTGCTTGGAATATGGAGAAGAGGCATTGTACTACTTGCTTTCCTATTCTCACATTCTCTAGGTACCCAAATATAACTTCTTATTTTTGGAAGTAGGAATTTCTTTCAAAATTTCTCGTAATTTTATTTTATTTGATTTTTATATTGAAGAACTTCCCATATTTCCTACTTTGTAATATGAATCTAGAATAAATAATAATATTGGCTATTTTTTTTTTAAAAAAAACATAGATGAAAAAGATGCCTAGATTAATGTGGAAAACTCTAGACAAAAATAATTAAGGGCAGGGAAAAAGAATTCGCTAGGAGAAAATTGTCAAAATGGTCTCTTGACTCTTTATATGGGATCCCTTCAGTCTCAAAATTTATAAAGTGTTAATTTTACCCCCCATATGTTTAAAATATAGGCTATAATAGTCTAGGTGAAGGGTTATTTTAATTTCAATTAAAAGAATATAAGCATTAATTTGATATTTTTATAAACTTTAAAACTAAAATGACCCCATATGAAAAAAAGAAAGTACAAGTGGAGTGGTGGCTCATATGCGTGCGCGTGGGCGCCATTTTGGAGCTGTAGCCCCCACATATTAATTGATTCTAGGATTGGGCCTCAAAATATGTCGCACCATAACATTTCAATCTAAGCTTAACAGAACTAGAACTAAAATAACAAATCCTAACAGAATCTCTGAAATACAATTCATTCTCCAAACCACCAATTTTCACCTGTATCTCTCTTCTGTGATACCTTAAAACTGGTATTTTTAACTTCACTTCACTCTTTGAATAACTAATGATCTATTCCTTTGGCTCTCTTCTTCCACAGGTTCATTTGTTGGAATCAATATCGGCACTGATATATCCGATTTGCCATCCCCATCAACCATCGTCTCCATCCTCCAAGCTCAAAATATCAACCATGTTCGTCTCTTCGACGCTGACCACCAACTACTAACCGCCCTCTCAAACACCGGAATTGAGGTCATGGTCGGCGTCCCCAACCACCAGCTGCCACAAATAGGCGAATCAAGATCAGCCGCCGCAGATTGGATAAACAAAAACATTGCACCCTATCTTCCCGGAACTAACATCACTTACATATCTGTAGGAAACGAAGCTCTCACCTCAGTTCCCAGCTCTGCTCCGCTTCTCGTTCTCGCCATGCAGTTCATCCATTCCGCTCTTCTCGCCGCCAATCTCGACTCTCAGATCCACGTCTCGAGCCCCCATTCCATAAACGTGATTCCCCAATCCTTCCCCCCTTCCACTGCCACATTCAATTCCACCCTAAACTCCATAATGTATCAGCATCTCCAGTTCTTGAAGAACACGGGCTCCTCCTTCATGTTAAACGCTCAGCCATACTACCTCTACTCGAAAGCGAACGGCATCTACCCCATCGATTACGCGCTTTTTCGTGCCCTAGATCCCGACAATCAGATTTTGGATCCCAACACGCTTTTGAGCTACACGAACATGTTCGACACCATGGTTGATGCCGCTTACTATTCCATGCAAGCGCTCAATTTCACCGGCATTCCGGTTATCGTGACGGAGTCCGGTTGGCCGTCGAGCGGCGGCGACAACGAATCCGACGCCAATGTTGACAACGCATTGGCATACAATACGAATCTTATACATCACGTGCTGAACAATTCCGGCACGCCGAGCCGCCGGAAAACGCCGATTAATGCTTATATCTATGAATTGTTCAATGAAGATCTTAGGGCTGGGCCTCCTTCGGAGAAGAACTGGGGTGTATTTTTTTCGAATGAAACGGCTGTGTATTCTCTGAGCTTTGCGGGTGGGAGTGATAATGGCACGAGCTCGCCGGGGTTGCCGGGTGTTTTCTGTGTGGCGAAGTCGAGCGCGAGCACGAAGGATTTGGAGCGAGGGCTTGATTGGGCTTGCGGATCTGGTGGGGCGAACTGTAGTTTAATCCAGCCGGGGCAGCCGTGTTATGAATCCGGCAACCTTTTCGCTGTTGCTTCCTATGCTTATAATGATTATTACCATAGAACTCAGGGAAGTGGCGGAACTTGCAATTTTGGCGGCACCGCCATGATTACAGCAAATGATCCCAGTAAGTTATCTATCATATTTTTTTCTTTTTTGACGGGGAAGGTGTATTTACAAACATACCTCACAATTCGAATGCATTTAGTGGCTAACACCTAAACTTTACGTATTTTGGATTTACACACCCCAAATATTTCGCATCACATCAAAATAGGCTTATTTTAACTTTTTAAAAGTGAAATACATTTTTTTTTTAATTGCTAGATAAGGTGACATGTATATAAAAATTGAAATTTTTAAGATATGTAAATGTATAGGAATTAAATGATATGTTTGTAAGTCTTCCCCTTTTTTTTTTTACATTATATATATTTGGCTGTTAGATATGGGGCATTTACATGCATACAAAATAATTGCCATGCATTTATATATCTAACACCTAATCTTTCATATTTAGATACATAACCCTAAAAAAATTATCATCACATACAAAGTATCACTATTGTTAACTTGTTAAAAGTGGAATACACCTGATCATGTATAGGTTTATGACATCAAAATCTTATAAATGTAGATATTAAACTTTACTTTTTAGATTTGTATATATGTAAGAATTGTGTGGTATGTAAATTTTAATGTGTGTATATATATATATATATATATATATATATATATCTATATGTGTGTGTGTGTGTGTGTGATCCCGTACATTTCATATATATAAATGTTAGAATCTTCTTTGGATGTGAGATCCCGTACATTTCGTGGACTCATACAACTCAAGAGATATCTTTAAAGAGGAGTGAGAAGAAATTGAGGGACTCAGAGTTTTTTTTTAGGATGCAGGATCGAGAGAGTGAGAAAGAGCCTCCCTCTTTCGTCCTTATTTATTTGCCCAAGATCCTATATACCCGTGCACGGGTATAGAAAATAATCATAAAATTAGTTTATTGCCTATGAAGTGCGAAGCCTGAGCAAATTCATTGTCGAGAATATTGTTGATATGGAGTATCATATTGTTAATAAATAGCAGCATGTATGCTGACAAATGGGAATTCTCTTCCTTCTGCCTCAGAGAGCTGCTTGTCGAGCTCGGTGGTGTAGTCAGGTAGTTATCAACAAGTTTGGTGAAAAAATTCAACTAGCTCGTATGAGTATGGTTAGAACTTGCGTAATATAGACAAGTTTGACTGTAATTACTCACTTGAAAATTGAGGTATAATAGATCCGTTCTAAGAAACTCTTTGGAATGTTGACGTACTTCAGAGGTTTTCGCAGAATCCTTCCGAACACTAAAGAGCTCTACAATTTGTCACTTCCAAAGATACGACAAATGAGTATATGATCGATATGGTCAGCCTCAGATCACTAAATATATAGCTGGTGGGTTCAATCCATTTATCCCATGAGACCCATCTAATATTTGGGCTTTCTTGTTGCTTAAAACCCTATATATATATATGTCAAAGTTTTGAGAAAAATAGGCTAAATTCTGAATAGGCTCAATTGCCTTTTCTCTTTGCTTTCATTCCATTAAATAACAATCTTATAATCAATTTTAGGTACAAAATAAAGTGCATATAATCTATTTTAGGTAACTTAATAATATATATTCCTAATCTAAATATTCAACTAAATGGGAAATAAATCAGAATAAAGATATTGGAAATAATGAAGCTCCTAATTATAGAAAACTCCTAATTCTGCTGTCTGATTTCCGTCCTTCCTGATTGACATGTCACCTCAAATTGATGTTGGCTGATCAGGAAACATCAATTTGCTAACAAGAAGCTCATAACATTGTCGGGGCCAAAAATCCTCAAGCTACCAAAGTCGAGAGTGTCAAAGCCTGAGATTGCCGAAGCCTAAGAATGTCGTAGCCAGAGAGTATCGAAACCTAAGAATGCCGAAGCCAGAGAGTGCCGAAGCACGAGAGGCCGAAGCTTGAGATTGCCGAAGCTCGAGATTGCCGAATCTCAAGAGTGCCGAAGCCCAAGAGTGTCGAAGCCCGAGAGACCGAAGCCTAAGAGTGTCAAAGCACGAGAGGCCAAAGGTTAAGAGTGCCGAAGCTTGAGAGGCCGAAACCCAAGAATGTTGAAGCTCAAAAGTGTCGATGCCCGAAGCTGAAGCGGATGAAGCGAAGCATAAGAAGCAGTCGATGATGCCACTGAAGCAGCGATGCCTAGTAAAGAAGATCTGAATCAGACGAATGATGATACAAACATAGCATCCCTTTTCAACCCAAGGATCTTTAATTTTCATAATGAATGGATTTTGCACTTTAGAATAAGTTCCATCTCTTGGCGAGCCATCTCTTGGCGAGCAGACCCTACGACATTTATCTGCCTGTCGAGCAAGTCTGATCTTCTTCAAGATAAATTTTTTTTCTTTTTCACCTTGTTCTTTCAAAAATGAGACATTATGCTTTTAGAAACCTTTTCACGGAGTACCATCCAGCAGTATGCGGAGGATAAGTAGCATCTGCAAGCGGAGCCAACCCTGAGGACGTTGTCGGCAATGGTTTTGCAGGAGCGGCAACATCCATGGATGGGAATCGAGGCTTGCGGAGGAGAGAGGCGCAGTTGTGACAGTAGAGAAACCCTTGGCGGAAAAACGTGGTGCTCCAGATCTTACGTTAAATCTCGTAGGTAGTCGATCGTGAGGGCTCTTCAAAACGAACCCCAGCCCGATCCCATCTTGGCGGCAACATTGCAGTACTTCTTTTTGAGACGGCGTTGTTTCTCCGCGATCTGGTTCTTATTGAAATCGAACTGTAGCCGAGCCGAATCTCGTTGAAGAAGGGTCCCGTGTCATCCTAGTAGTTGGCGTGCGTCGTTCCCCTCTTCGACGTAAACTCCAAAAATCCCTGTAAGACCTTCATCTCGTCTGCGCGAGTCCACAACTTCTGAAACATCCGTCGGGATTCCTCTCCTCCAATTGTATTGGCGATTTGCCGATGGATGTGGTCGTTGATGTCGATCATTTCCTCGCTATTAGTGACTTCGTCGTCTTCTGCGGCGGGATCGTCCTCTCCGGCGGAGGCCATGGTTGTGGTGCGGGGTTTTAGACAAAGCAAACGAGCGAGAATCAAGACAAAGAAATATTTCCTCCTTCTTGACGTTCCTCCAATAACTACCGGTGGCTAGGGGAAAAACTTGGCTCTAATACCATGCCAAAGTTTTGAGAAAAATAGACTAAATTCTGAATAGGCTTAATTGTCTTTTCCCTTTGCTTTCATTCCATTAAATAACAATCTTACAATCTATTTTAGGTTTAAAATAAAGTGCATATAATCTATTTTAGGTAATATAATAATACATATTCCTAATCTAAATATTCAGCTAAAAGGAAAATAAAGCCCTCCTCTCTTAGTTTATATATATATATATATATATATATATATATATATATATATATATGATCCTAAAAGCATTCCTTTCTTCAAAAACCCTTTTGAAGATTTACATACATACCATAATTCTTTATGTATTTCCATATGTAAGACTAATGCTTTAATTTTTAAATACATGCCACCTTACCTAATGCATGAAAATGTGTATTTCACATTTGAATACTTAAAATAGTGGTATTTTTAATTTGAGATGAAAGATTTGCGTTGTATAAATTTAAAAAGAGTAAAGCTTAGATGTTAGACATGTAAATACGTATGAATAATCTTTTCTGTCATTCTACTCATTAACTAACCACGTCCCATTCTTGCTACAGGCCACGGCTCTTGCATATTTGCAGGAAGGTAAGGAAGAAACAGAATTCTAGCAATTTATATTTTTATGTCAAAACATCTTCTCCCAAATAAATCCATATTTATTTCGAATTCTCCGTTCAGCGCTACGACGAACTCGACAGCGAGCAATGGCGCGGCATCGGACTCCGGCTCTATCGCCGGTTTTGAAAGACGGCATGCATTTTCAACAGGCTATCTCGCTCTGGTGATGCTGCTCATTTTCTTCTGCTGCTAGTCTCTTACTGATACAGCTGCGTCAATTTTTTGTAAGAAACTACAAAAGCCTCTCTTTTGAAATGTTCATAATTTCTGGCTGTTTGGTTCCATTTAGTGTTAGGTTAGGGAGGTTGTTTATGAGGGGTGTGATTGAAATTTTAGCAATTTTGCAGCTGTACATCATTTCTGTTTTGTTAAGTTTGTAGGGTAAGCATATACTATTTATCAAATAATGTTAATTTTTTTCTTATGATTTTATTGATTTCGAGTCAAATGATCGAATACCACGAAATTAAAAAAGGGAGAATTGCGTGCCTACCGTCAGAAACATTGATCTTTACAAACTAAACTAAGCACCTTGTGATTTTTTTTGAACTATCGAATTGATTTATTTACACGTGTCACGGTTGAATTATCGAGAATTTGATAAAAATGAAAAATATGAGTTGGGATTTTACCATGAATTTTGATATTAGAGTGAGACTTTGAAAAATGATTGATTTGTCAATAACAAGTTTCTTCCCCCCAAATAAATGGGGGCATTTACATACATAACACCAAATTCCTATGTATTTATATCATATGTAACATTTTTTTTTAATATATCTATTTATACCACCCAAATCTTTCATATTACATAAAAATATTTCTATCTCGACTTTTAGAAAGTGAAATACAATTTTTCATGATGAAGAAAAAATATTACCTCAGGAGTACTGATGCATCAGTACTCCTGAGGTAATATTTTTTCTTCATGCACAGGTAAGGTCATATAGGTAAAAAATGAAGTTTAGGTGTTGGACATGTCAATACATGGGAATTTGTGGCATGTATGCAAATCTTCCAACAATAATAATAATCAAGGAACAATTCTACAGAGGACTCAAAGGAGCAAGCAGAGAGGATTGAACTTCAAAATTATTTTTCATGAGAATTGTCATATTTTGCTGTATTATGATAAAATGTTTAATTATTTATTTCAGCATTTAAGAATTGTGGGATGAATACATCATGTGGCTGGTGAAATTTAATAAATTATTGATTTAATCAATGAGTTGTGAATGAACTAATGCGCTCGATGAACAACTCGAATTCGACTCGATTAAAACCCGATCATGTTCGTTCAGATTAGTAAATAGATAAGCTTGAACAATTTTTGAAAGCTCGAAGCTTAAATGAATTGAATATGAACATAATCAAACTTGTTCATTTGTGTTCATGAAAAAGTTTGTTTGTTGTTCAATAAGTTACTTGTTAAGTATTTGATATTAAATTTAATGATAGCTGGTATATTATTTAAATAAAATTTAATTAGTTATAATTTATTTAATTATATATTTAATAGTGCTATATTATTATATTAATAATATTTTTAGTTTAATTGTTAATTATATATTTAAGTTGTAATTGATTAATAAAACAATAAGTGAAGGGTGATCTTGAATGAGAATATAATTTAAAGAGTGCCATAAAAAAATTTCTCTTGTAGAGTTTTCATAACCTTAAATGTAATAACGAGTTCATTTTATTTGATACCAACCTGCAATTACTAACGAAATTAATATAAATAGTCTTATTGTTATTCTTTTATTAATAATATGATTTAGTGAATGATCATCCCTATAACTTTTATGATTAGTTTACTTTTTCTACTTACAAAATTTGAATTATGGTCGAATCAAGCGTCTCAACAAGACTAAATCCAACGAGCCCAAGATCGCTCAATTCCGATATTATTAAGACATTCAAATATTTATAAATGAAATTGAAGTCCAGCATCACTTCTGTCACCGTCGAACGTCGTCGACCATCTCCAACCGCATCGACCACCGTCGACTGCCGTCAATCTCCACCTGAGGGTAGCCGCCGATCGCTATCGTCACCGCTCGCAACAAGTTCATCTACATATCGACGTTGTAATTCAGAAGACTTGGTAACACTTCCCGCCTGTGGGACAAGGGGAGACTGTAATTATCGACTCATAGTGTATCTCTTCTACTGTGCTAGACCCCGTGATTTTTTCTCTTTTCGGATTTTCCACGTGAAAACTTCTAGTATCTCAACCGCTTGTTTCTTTCATCTGAGTGTGTTGAATTCCCATGCAATGCTAAGACGATAATTCATTAATCTAACACAGTAAATTTTCTAGCACGCATCACATGTAAATATAAAAATTTTCATGTTAATATATAAGAATTATGTGATATGTATGTACATATCCAATTGCTTCATGTAGTGATGATAACAGTCACTAGCAAGAAACCTAGAGTTGCCAACAACATGATGGTTGTGATCAGTAATACAAGGACGGCCGCGATGACTATGGTATATATATATATATATATATATATAGTTAAGGAGTTAGATATGTGAATTGAGTGGTATGTACGGAAGAAATCTTCCTTTTTCTTAATTATTTCTCTATTATGACCGCATTTAACTAAGTCACCAAATATAAGCCACCTAAAAATTTAATCATCTCATTTAGCCCTGATAGAATTTAATATTCATTTTAGTGTTAAGTGTAAAATCCTTTGATAATTTATAAGAATAAATTCGTGTCATGTTAGATGTTAGCTATCGCTGTCAACCGCCACCACCGTTATATAAGATGATGATTACAAAAGTCTACATTTCCCTCCCATTTGAAAAGTCAGAATTACAAAAGTTGAATCTTTGGTGTTAGTTCTTATGAGTGGCTAAAAATGCTGAAAAGTAACAAATAGTAATAGGTGTTGGTGGTGATTAACAATCTAGTGATGATGGTCACTAGCATCGGTTGATGGTAGGAGATTAAGATTGGGTGATTACGAACATATGGGTCGCTTTAGAAGATTAATGATGAGCAAACGAGAAAAATTATGTGTCGCTTTAGAAGATGAATGATGAGCAAAAGAGAAAAATTGTCAGTGATGATCAGTGATGTTTGTTATTTGGTAAAGCTTTTGAATTGTTTAAATCTTAGAACTCGCTCATGAAGTCCCCTTCAATTGTTCAATGAAGGCTTATTATAGGTTTCCTTTTCCTTCTTTTTTTGTGGCATCTTGGTTATTGGTTATTTTTTGTCAAAAATCCCAAACACTTCCTTAGATGATCAATAATATTTTTTTCTTAAATATTTGATATATTTTTTAGTATTTGGGTGTTTTAATGATGTAAATATGTGGTGTTGTTGGGCTCACTACAAGTCACTTACATATGCAATTTTATAACTTTGCTAAAACTTGAAATAGCAATTGAATGTCTTTTTTGTTGACATCAATTTTAAATATAAATAAAACTTTTTCTTAACAACAACATACATTAATATGTTATTAATTTAGGCTTAGCTACATTAAGTTCAAATCAGACCAAACTTTATTAATCATTCAACCAAAATTCAAAGTCCATTAAAAATGTAAGATTCTTTTCTCGTTGAATGATATTAAACTATTAGGTAAAACATAATTGTTGCGCAATACAATTTGGAAAACAAAATCACAGAATAAACAAACAAGTCAAATACAGTGTAAATTACATGGTTCGACACAAATCCACAAAGTCCATACATGTATATAGGGAGAGGTTATTCCACTATCAACATGTGGGAATAAAACAAAAATCGATTGAATTAGGGTTATAACTCAACACACACAAATCTTCCATAACCCCTCATATAAATAAGAGAGTATTAAGGTGTACAAATTTGAAATATTTGAAATATAGGAAATATCATACATTTAGATCTTTTCAAATTAGATTTCACAATATAGAAAAATGATATAACTAGATGTCCCAAAACTAGGTTATCTAATGTCAATCTTCATAATATAAACACTTCCTAATTTACAAATGTTAGATTTAATATTTTCCATAACAATCCCCACCTTATCTCTCGTTTCCATATAAGTGGGAATGATCAAAATGAGATTCAACATGTAATGACTGCACCAGGATCGTTGTCTATGTACCTGAATGAATCAAGCTCTGAGTAGTTCTTCAAAATGACAGAATAGACATTTAATCATGAGCCTGGATGGTCACCAAACTTTTATATCAGGTGAAATTCTGGATTGATAGTATATTTGTGAGTTTGTCAGCTGGATTCTTCTTTGTATTTATCTTCTTCTACAACATATTACCATTATTAATCAAGTCCCAAACAAAGTATTACCTCGCATCAATGTGCTTGGTACATGCACGATAAATTGAATCTTGAGCAACAACCATAATTTCATTCAGTATACTACGCTAAAGATAATAAGATTGTGATGAACTCCCATCATAAAAATTAGTGCACCATGATATATCTTTAAAACTGCTGCATCAATACATACATTGTAGCCCTTGTCCATTACGACATCAACTTATAAGAAATTATTCTTGTTATCTGAAACATAACTAACATCGGTCAGCTCCCTCACACTACTATCAGGAACCTTAATAAAAATGTTGCCTATCAATAGTACAACAAAATTGATTGTTGCCTACAATCACTACATAACTATCCAGCTTATTATATGTATAGACCCACTCTCGATGGAAACAAAGATGATAGGTAACACATGTGTCTAGAATTCAACATGAATCATTTGTATATAAATTGTGAGAAATTGCAGATAATGATATATCTAAATCCGTCCCGTCACTCCTCTCCACAATGTAGTTGGATTTCACATAAGAGGTAACTCTAATTTTCTTTTCCTTCTCCTTCAACTTTGAATAATTTATCTTCTAATGGCGAGTCTCCAAATAGACAGTACATTGATTTTTTTTAAGATTGTGCCACACTTTTGAAAAATAGCACAACCGTCACTTTTATTTGTCAAATTCTTCTTCTTCTCAGCTCTACCACATTGGAGTATATGTGCCCCAACCAACTCCATTTTTAATGACTCTGTGCCCCTTCGAAGGAACTCATGGTTCACTAGTGTCTTAGACACCTTATCATAATTCAAGACATCCTTCTCATGAATGAGTGTCATCGTGAAGTTTTTGTAGTCATGTGAGAGAAAATTCAATAAAAGAAGTGTCTTATCTTCATCTTTAACCCCTTCATCCAGATTTATCAAATTTGTCAAAAGCTTTATAAAATAATTCAAGTGGTCATAAATCGTAAGCCTGCATCTCATCTGAAACTTGTAGAATCAGTGATTCATATGAGCACAATTCTCCATGCTCTTCGTAAGATATTTGTTCTCCAAATTTCTCCATAATTTTCCCACAAAAGACTTCATCATCATCTCATAT